TTACAGACAAACAATAATGTCAAATGGCGAGAGTAACAAGTGCTAAGTGTAAATAATTTAAAAAAATAATAATAAAATAAGGGCTAAGATTATAATAAAATAAATTATAAATTACAAAAATAAATAAGAAAATAATAATGAGCACTTTTTATCTAAAATATTGTAGTTATTCATTGACACAAATTCAATAATGTTCTTCTTAGAAAAAAATAATGGATAAAGATTGCCGTGCAATATTATATGTAATATAAACAAAAAAATTAATTTTATTTTATATATTTTTTCCTGAAATATTGTCAAAAAGGCAAGAGGAATAAGTGCTAAGTATGAATAATTTAAAAAATAATAATTTGTATATTTTAAATAGCAATAATTATAAAAGTATTATTTTTATTAGTTAATATATTAAAACAACACCGAATATGATCGTGTTTCTAGACAGCCTTTCCGCCAAAAAATTAATTTGATACATATAAGTGATAATACAACATTTTTTTAATTCAGATAATTCAAAATTGCTTTATAGTAAACTAGATACAATTTACTTCAAATACAAATACAGTTTATCTTTGTTAAAACCATTCAAAGGGGACTTATGAGTTGCGTTTTTCATTAAATCATGGATAATTTGTGATGTTTTTTATCATTACTAAAAATACTCCACTTTTATAAAAACTTCCTTGTTTAATGAGCTTTAGTTGCATATATTTTTAGTTGAGGTTTGTTGTAGAATAGAGTTTTGTCCTCGGGTTGTGTATTTAAAATTATTTATCCTCTTGCCTTTTGACAGTATTGTTTGTCAGTCAATAATTATTTAAAAAAAAGAATAAATAATTTTGACTGAAGTTCTCCAGCGAGCATGTAGAATCGAGGTGTGGAAAATCTTGGAACGTTTTCAATCCGGAGGGGGGGGAGGGCAACTGTGTCTATTTAATTAGGTACTAAAAACTCGTAAATATACATTTGCTTTCTACTTGAATCCTAAGATAATTTGATCACAAAATCGAGAAAAAAGGTGGCCTTCAAAAACATTGAGCCGTTTGGCGTGAGCTACACCCCCAAATTTTCCAAATAAGGAGGTTATGTAGGACAAACCTAATATTTTTGTAGGCTACCTTTTTTATCGATTTTTTGATCAATTTATCTTACGATCCAAATAGAAAGCAATTGTGTATTTACGAGTTTTAGTACCTAATAGTGTTGCCCAAAATACCAAGGCCGATTAACTGCTGCAAGACCAAGATCAGGACTGGTAAAAATAATCGATTTTTTAAGTAAAAATTAAGGCAAAATAGTTACTACTACTCGACAATTTTAGTTACTATATGTTAATAATTGGTATAACCAATATTCTTTTGCATTTAAATCCTCTAATTTTTCATTCGGGCTTAGTTAGGTTTCTAATATAAAAAAAAAAAATACAGTAATATCTCTATAGTAGTAAATTAATAAGTAACTGCATGACTGTTGCGAGAGTATTGCGCAAGACCAAGACCATGGCCAAGACTGAGTTTGCAAGACCAAGACTCGTCTCGGTCTCGCATTTGGGCAACACTGGAACCTAATTAAATAGACAAAGTTTACCCTTCTCCAGATTGAAAACGCCCCAGTTTCAAGAGTTTTCGTAAATAAAATAGTTGTAGGTTACGATGAGAGGGAACTATTTACGAAATTTCAGGCGGATGTTAATAATTCTATAAAAAGGGGTCTGTACCACGGATTACCACGACCGCTACAAACCGTATACGAGTACACAGTCTCTGAATCCGTATCTGTAATAGTGTCTGAATCGATATAGAGTTTGTAAATACACAGGGGTCTTCAGGCCGAAAGATTTTTTAAAAAAATATATAACAATAATTACTTAGAAAGAAAAAAAAAGGAACTAACTACCTATTATTATTACTATATGAAATAGAGTTTAAGTGATTCTTTAAGTACTATAAAATGTAATTATACGAACAATAATACTTTTAGAGGTAATTCTTAAATACAGTGGATCGCAATCAAGCATCCAATTGTGGCTCACTATCTCTCTAGATACATAAAAATATATAAGAAACTAAATAATATATCCAAGAAAATAAACAATAATTTCGAAAACTTTTATCTCAAGTGAGAGGAACAAGTTTGCAACTTTGGGGATATTCCATTTATTACGAGAGGGGACAGTGACCTTATTCTTTGGATCGAGTGTTTTAAAAATTGAATAAAACGATATTCTATAAATGAATTAAATTATATAATATGTATTTAAGTACTTATGGACTTCGTAATCTTGGCAGCTGATATTTCTTGAGTGTTTTTTGTTGAGAAGTGGAGATAAGTTTTGAACGGGGCTAGAATAGAAACTAGACAGGCTGGTTTCTAATAGACCATTTCGCTCCAAGAAAGTGAATTATGAATATAAATTAACTTTAATTTATTTATTTTTTTAACTATAGAATCTAAACTTGAAAGTTTTCAATCATGAAATAGCTCAAAGCACAAATTTGAGTAAAAATAAAATTGCATTTAATTACAAGGTGGATTATGCAGAACCAATTATTTAATAACAAGCATTTAGAGTTTTATATCGTACAATAATAATTTTGCATATCTTTGTTCAAAACGTTTCTTTCGATATTTTTTACATTTCGTCGGCATTTCTTCATTTTTTAAAAATACAGCACCAGCATATAGTTGTTTTGATCCATATTTCATTACAATTAATTTAGGGACACATTAACACAACCAGAGGATAGTTAAGTGAGTAAGGAACTGTGTTCCTATTTTCGGCACAATCAGCATCTATAAAATAGTTAAATCTAGTGTTGCCCCCAAAATCGGTCAATCGGTATTATATTCTATGAGCTATTGCCATCGGGACAAACAAACTATATACTGCTCACAATTAACAAAATTGGATCACTCAATTAAAAATAAACGCCCAGAACTGGCAAATCAGAAAAGTATTGTGTTCCGCCAAGACAATGCTAGGTTCCACACCTCATTGGTCATTTGCAATAAATTATTGAGTCTTGGATGAGTACCTTTTACCACACCATTTCTATTCACCAGATCTAGCTCCAAGACACTACCACTTATTCTGGTCTCTGCAGAACTCCATTACTGGAAAGAAATTGAAAAAGGAAGAGGACATCAAAAATCACTTTGATTAGTTTTTTAACAATAAGTTCCAGACATGACATTATGACAATTAGTTCTATGAACATGACATTATGCAGTTAGTGTAAACAAGGGAAAAAAAGTCATATTAAATAATGGCCAATATATTGCAGATCAAAATAAATTTTCAGGTGTCTTATGGTTCCGTTTAATGCAAAGATAAAATCATTTCCGACCAGGGCGGTAATCTTTGAGGGGATTTTTCTGAACTAAATTTTTCAGCAGATGTTGGACACTGTCAATAACTTTATTTTTTTTCTATGTATTTAATTTACACAACTAATAATGTATATATATATATATATATATATATATATATATATATATATATATATATATATATATTACTAATATAAACTAACACTTCTGTATATTTATATATGTCCATCTATTATCCTAAGGATTAAAGAGTATGCTGTGTATATAGCAAACCAATATAATTGGGCAACAATCTTTTATATTTTATATTTTTATGGAAATAAAGTGTTTCTCTCTCTTCTTATTCGCTAGACGAAATAGTGGATGGTCTCATTTTACGCTGAAGTGTGTATTTTTCCTCTGACTTTATAAGCCAGTCAGACATTACCCCGCAAATATAGTCTAGGGCTTTTCCAAGTCTTTCTGAGTATGTATAATTTTTTTTATTTTTTTTTTTCGGGGCCTTAGAAAAAAAGCTGGAAGAAAGAAAAACAGAAATCAAATGTTGTTCCAATAGCTGACATATCTTGTTCCAGAGCTTGATACTACCTGTCAGTTATTGGAATACATATCTACATTGAGAATAATGTTCAGTGGCAAGCTTATATAACGAAATAAAATAGTTAAATAGAAGAAATGATGTTTTTAAAAGAAGTTGTGCAATGACCCAGTAGCTAACAGGGCTGTTTTTTTCAATTTCTTCAAAGAAATAAGTCCAAAACGGTTAAAACATAATATGTAAAGACTCAAGGAAGGAATACAACAGAAACTTGAGATTAATAAAAAGTATTTAAAAGAGAAGAAAAACTGTACCTTATAGCATCCTTATTGTTTACTTTCCCGCTAAGACTGAAGCATAATATACCAATATTTAAGGGAAATATATAGAAGGCACTAATATTTAAAATAAAAGTCTTGTAGGTCCTGAAATCTTATTATTCAAATTTTTAGAGAATGGTGTCAGGCAATGGTGCACTATCAATTTCTAGTGCTTTTATCTTATTTTATTCATGTTATTAAAATATTTGTTGTTAAAAAAAATGAAATGTTTAATTAAAGTGATGAAAATGTTTTAGAAATAATGTTCAGGACTCTAAACTATTTTCTGCTCTTTATCACCCGTTATCAGATTTTGAATTTCGGCATTTTACCGCCTCCAGAACTAAGCTGCGCTATCAGACGAACTTATCTCCAGCTAAAGGTACTATTTGGCTGGCGCGGTCGACGACAGCGACCGCTATTCCCCCCTGCCAACCGCTGTTGGCGTAGCTATTTCGCTGAAACTGCTCACTGGGGTTGTTATAACCTGCCTATAACCTTCGAACATTTCGCTGTATCTTCGAAGATAAAAAGATGGACATAATATAAGAATAAAAATGAACTTCCTATAATAATGAACATCTCTGACTACCGCTTTTTTATTTGAGTTGGAAAAAGAAGAGAAAATGTTGTTCATAAAGAGAAGGAATATCAGTATTTCGATGTGATGCTCATCATCAAAGTTCCTCTGATATTACATATTATTAGTTTGAAAAATAATAGTAATTAATACATAATTGGTTAGTAATAAATATCATATATTTGCAATTAAATCTCAGCAAGCGATGTTTTATAATTTTATCAATAGTAATCAGTAAATCAGTTCTGTCGATAAGGATCAGTTCCTGAACTGGTTTCTATTCTTACAGCAACCGGTACTGAATTATGTAATTATTTGTGCTTTCACTCGCAAAGCAAGGTTAGTTGGGGACCAATATCATTTCTATAACGGTCCAGTTCTTAAAGAGTTATATTTCACATCATGAGTCTTCAAAGGGTACTTGTTTATGGTGGGTGTGGTGCTTTGGGATCAACTTGTGTACAGTATTTTAAAAATAAAAATTGGGTAAGCCCTTAAAACTACATATTTGGGTGATTATTTACAAAATAATTACCCATGTTTGTTTCTTATTCTATTGATTCTGTTGTCAGTTATAAAAAAAATGTTAAAAACATTGTTTTTTTTTAGTGGGTGGGATCAATTGATACAAAACCAAATGATTTAGCCGATAAGAGTTTCATTGTTGATGTGACTGAACCATGTCTTAAACAGGTGAAACATTTTTTTATCAGTCAATTTTAGAAGATATTTTGTATTTGTTTAGTATATTAAGTTATTTATTTAGGAAGAAACTATACGTTCAGCAGTCTCGTCAGCACTAGGAAATGACAAGCTCGATGCCATAATATGTGTTGCGGGTGGATGGGCTGGAGGAAGTGCTGCCTCTGAAGGTATGTTTTCTATGATATTGAATAAATATAAATTCTATTAACAAACGTGTCTCAGAAATATTTACCAGCTGTTGGTTATCAGTGTCAGTTCTTTAAACTTTATCGGTATCAACAGAACTCCAACTGCTGATTGTTTAAAGGTTTCTTTTATATAAGGTACTAGAGATTTTTAATAGGAAATATAATATTTTTTCTTCATTATCCGATCTTATTATTGGCATTCAGAATAAAAGTGGATCAAGTCGAGTAATAGCTTAGAGATAAAAAAACGTTGAAATTAGTAATACTAAATGAAAGACTAACTCAAGTGTCATCAATTGAAAATTCTACAGCAGGAATTAAGGTGGTTTGATCTGATATTTAATGAGAGAGTTTCAACACCACATGTTGCTATTGGAAAATAGCATTAGCAGGAACTTAGTTTGCACGTTAAATTATTCACCTTTAACAAGTGTTACTTCGCAACAACCCAATTTTTTTATACTTTTTGACTTGTTCAATTAAGATGTGAATGGCTCATGTGATGGAATGTCTTGAGTTTTTGATTAATTTATGTATTTCATGCAAATTACACGATACAGGATTGATTGAAATTGAAACAAATTTCTAATTAATAAGCATTTATAGAAGTTAATTTAAGACAATTTATCTGATTGGTACTTTAATTCAACATGAAATAAACAATTACTAAGAAGGCTGAGGTACTACTTGACAAGTGCGATTCCAATTTGTTGTTTGGGTCAAATTCACCCTGTAGATGGAATCCTACTAATAGCGGCTGTCCGAATTTATCTAAATGTAGATTGTTGTTTTGAGTGACAGAGTGGCGACAGACCTGTGAAATGTCAATGAATTTTCATAACAGGGAGAATTCAGGAAATCTTTTTAGTATGTAAATATATATTTTTTTTTTAAATTGGAAATAAATATACAGTGGATATCGTTTATAATGAGAGGTAAACTTTGTCGTTTTAAAGAACTACAGTCACTGTATTCATCCACCTTTGCCTGTCAACAACGGCACTGGTCATTATAATGAAATCAAACAAAGGTAATGAATAAAATTTATGTAAAATGGAATAAAAACAGTACTTTTTCGAAAAGAAAAATATACCAATACTATTTACTATTTGTAATTTATACATCTGGGTCAAGATTTGTCTGACAAGCACTCATTCATTTGACCTGTGGTGCTCCTTAAAAGAGCATTTATTAACAAGAAATGTCATAATTGGTTTTATATCGTCACCACCATATTAAAGTAATGATTGTGTGCCTGCTTAACGTTGCAGATTGGCTACTTTGACATGATACCGACAGTATGGATAATTATTATGCTGTTTATAGTATTAAAGAAACTAAATACAGTATGTAACCATGTAGAAATTATTTACTTATCATTAATGGCACCGATAGATGGTGCTATTTGGTTGGACCAAATTATTATTGGTTAATAAACTCTAAAAAAATTATAAACTACATTAATATTAGAATCCCCCGTAGCTCACTTTATTTTACAATAGAAAAAATCAGAGCTTTATATGTCAAGTGTCAACTTTTACCTTCTCTTATTTTATGAAAATAAAATAAAAGCGATAAAAATAAATTATTTATAGTTTAGTTTTCTAAAATAAATAATGCTAATCAAGCTTAAAAAATGCTTCTTCTAACACATTATATTAGATATTTAAAATGTTTCTAAAAAAAAGGTAAATTTTTTTGAAGTTATAAAATTTGTGAGAAAGTTGATTTTTTATCAACTTACATCATATGCATGAATTAGAAAGCTGTAAATCACTATTTTAGAAGTGGGTTAAGGGAGTTAATTAATTGGTGGGAGGAGTGTAAAATTTAAGAACCTGTATTGTGTTATTGATTATTTACAAGGCTTTTTGAAAATAGTAATATTTGTTATGGAATGAGTTAATTATAGTGACCAATTTTTTCTGAAATTTATGATATTCAACTTTCATTTTGTTTCAGATTTCTTAAAGAATTCAGATCTGATGTGGAAGCAGAGTGTTTGGAGTTCTTCTATTGCTGCATCACTTAGTAATAAGTTTTTGAAGGAAGGTGGTTTTCTAACTTTGACTGGTGCTAATGCAGCGTTGAAGGGAACTCCAGGTTAATTAATATAATGCATCATAGAACCTAAGATTTTTACATGTTTTTTGAAAAAGGGACTCATTAAATATAATAAAAAATTAAGTGAAAATGCAATTTATACAGTAATTAAAACTTCATTAAAAAAAAATTAAAATAATAAGTGATGTAGAGATGGTTGACCGTTGATATAATATGAGAAGGAGTTAGTCGAGGGTGCGATCAAATAAATAAGAAAATTAAAATATATAAATTATTTTAATTTTTGCCTAAAATTAAAATAATTTATATATTTTAATTTTCTTATTTATTTGACCGCACCCTCGAATAACTCCTTCTCATAAAATAATAAGTATGTGGATAATAGTTCTGGAATAAACTCTGACTAACATTTGAAATATAAGAGAAAGTAATTTAGTATGAAATAAACATATATGAATATCTGATAATATGAAAACAAGTAGCTATTCATCTACAGGGCATATCAGTTCTTAATAATAATAAGGCCAAACTCTAGGGGCAGGTTCTAGGCAAAATTGCCAACAACAAAGTTCATTTGATGCATGGAGCAATTTGTAATGGAAAAGGAGTTAAGACCAATTTTTTGTGGTCATATTTTTTATTGAATAAGAAGGAATTGCTCAAAAACTGTTAAAGATAATAAAATTCTAAATACACTATCATAAAGTAGACAAAATTGTTTTGAGAAAACAGTGATTAAATTGACTATTAAGGTCAATGATAAATGGGATTTGCAGGAGATCTGATTCGGCCGCTGTACAGAAATATGCTGCTCGTGTATGGGTACTGTGAATGCAGCTGTACAGCGGCCGTATTAGATCTGCTGAATGTCCCTTTTATTGTTGATCTTAGTAAATCTCATCAGTTTTCTCAACAAAAAAAATTTCGATGTATGTTAATATTCCTTGCAATTAATAAATTTTCAACTAACATCTTCAAAAATCACTGAAATATATTTATTCATTTTAAATATCTTGTTTTATAATATTCCAGGAATGATCGGTTATGGAATGGCAAAGGCAGCAGTACACCATTTGACCAAGTCCTTGGCATGTGACAATAGCGGTCTTCCTGCAAAAGCCCAAGTTGTATCCATACTTCCTGTAACTCTTGACACACCAATGAATAGAAAATGGATGCCGAAAGCTGATACATCTACCTGGACTCCTCTCGAGTTTATTGCTGAGTATGATATTTTATATAATCTATTTACACTTATTTTAGTCTTAGAGCCCGTGGCAACTATGGAAACTATATGGAATAACTTATTTTTCGCAATTTTCCTTATTACACAACTCTTAATCTATATATATATACGAAAAAAAAAATATGTATTATATAAGCCAATGGATACACATGTACGTTGTCTTATATACAGATTAAGACCTGTGTAATATCAAAAATTGCTAAAAGTAAGTTTTTCTGTATAGTTTCGGAGTTTGATCATCAAGTTATAATTGCTTTAGCCTTTAAATGGTTGAACATGAGGTAATAAAGTAATATATATTTTTAAAGAAAATTTAATATTAAACAACTTTCTTCCTCATAACTATTTCGTAAAATGAAAAGATAAAGAGTTAGGAAACTATAGAGTATAGCGAAAAAACTAATATAACAATTTCTATTGCTAGTTTTGTTAGCTTTAACTTCACATATCATAATATTGTAGATAGAATGCATATTTTCACTGATATAAGTAAAAAAAGTAAACTTTTTGAATCGTTAACTCAATTTTTCGACTTGAAATCCACCGGTTTGGGGTAACTGACTATTATTTCATGTCTTAGGACCGTAAATGCTATAAATTGAAAGAGTTGATAGCTTTATATACGCTTATAACCTATGTAGGATCTCTATCTATCTTCACATAACCACCATTTTGTATTCCAGCGGCTACATGCTGGCAGACTTTCATTTTTCTCATCGGCCTGTGGATATTATCAATTTATAAGGACAAAACTTAGTATGAAATATGACACGTTTTTTATCACGGACTCCCAGACTATTTGCCTTTAGGTCAATTTAATAAATAATCATAATTACTTTTTGATCAATATTTATTAATGAACGGTTTGGGGAATCTTTATCCCTCTCTTCAGGATATGATATGCCCCAAAATTGTGTAAGTCACAGTTACTAATGTTTGGTCAAGGCTGTTGGGAATAGGAATATTAAATTGGTCTTTCAGTTTAACTCCAATTTCAACATTTTTTTGTAAAGTCATTCTATTGATATTTCTAGTTGGTAAGTTTATAATATCTGTATAGACAGTGAGTAAGTTGATTCCAGAGTTGGTGAATGCAATGCAGAAATATAGAACTGTGAATAAAGGTATAAACTTTCCACCAGAAATATCGCTAAAATTAATAATTAAAAATGTTGAAATTGGAGTTCGTTATTCTGTCAACTGAAAGGGTCAAATATTATAAGAGCAGGTAACTCACATTATATATATATATATATATATATATATATATATATATATATATATTATATATATATATATATATATATGTTATTTTTATCTGCTGTATTTAAAATTATAGAGTAAATTTGTTATTTGGTAACATACTCTTTATGAGGTTGATAAATAATCGGGTTTGCATTCTAGATTTGTTTTATTCAGCTTGTCGTTGTTCTATCTGTTTCTCTACTTATTTATTCATATTATTTTTATTTACTAAATCCCACTATATAATATTGCTCTGTTGTGTTCGAATTAGTTTATACAATTTAAAAATTCATCTCATCCCTAGGACTAGTTGTTTATATGTACTTCTGGTTTACTTATTAGAACTATCCATTTATTTATTTTTATTTGCTGCTAGTTCCTGAAATTAACACATTCTAACTATCCCTTTAGCGTTATATATTAGTATACATTTTTACGACTTTATATTAATTTTGAACCAATCTTGGAAGGTATATTTCAGTCATTTAGTAACATATATAAAAATAAAATCACTAAATACTTTGATGAATTTTCCCTCTGTGATGTCATTTTCGTTCATCATAGTTTAACCATTTCTGGTATATTACAGGATTTGCCTTTTATTAAAAAAACATACTTCAATATTAAGCTTCATCAAAAATGTATTTAATTACGTTTTGTAATAAACCCGATGATATTAAATCAGTAAAAATATCCTTTGAATGCTGTTACTTTTTTTATGATCTGTTTATTTATCTATATATATAAAAATGAATGTATGTCTGTCTGTTTGTCTTTTGTGCATTACTAAACCGTTCATCCGATTGCCATGAAACTTTGGGAAGTTGTTCCGTATACTCCTGGGAAGGTTTCTGGCATAGTACTTCTGTCTTGCGATAATTTTATATTTGTAAAAAAAATAAAAATGTAAATGATTTTCTGTTCAAAACCGCAAAAAAATGTGTCGCTATAAACTGTAGCGCTAAAACAGCTTTACCGATTTTAACGAAACTTGGCTAAAGTCTTCCTCTTGATACCCTTTTAATTTATGTGTATAACATACTTTCACAAAAACAAGCTGAAAAATGTTACGATTAATTCAATATTCTATTTGCCGATAACTAAAAACGTACACAATTTTTGATCGATAATACCCATATTTATATGAAAGTTTTCTGTATACTCCTGGGAAGGTTTCTGGCATAGTACTTCTGTCTTGCGATAATTTTATATTTGTAAAAAAAATAAAAATGTAAATGATTTTCTGTTCAAAACCGCAAAAAAATGTGTCGCTGTAAACTGTAGCGCTAAAACAGCTTTACCGATTTTAACGAAACTTGGCTAAAGTCTTCCTCTTGATACCCTTTTAATTTATGTGTATAACATACTTTCACAAAAACAAGCTGAAAAATGTTACGATTAATTCAATATTCTATTTGCCGATAACTAAAAACGTACACAATTTTTGATCGATAATACCCATATTTATATGAAAGTTTTCTGAATTGCTGACAAAATAAAAAAAAAAATCATCGAAATCGTACGGTTCGTTACAGAGTTATAGAGTTTTAAACATTTACTGCTTTCTCTTCAAAAAAGGCCATTTCCTTTTGCTTCCTCAGTACCGAAGGTCGGCAAGCATTTTTTTTTTTTATTGATTAAACGAAAATTTTATAATTTCTACAGTAATTGATATTATCATTTGAAGAAGTTATACGATTCTCCTTATGTAGGTCAATACTATTATACATTTTTTATATTAGTTTTATAAGTTCAACTCAGACTGTTTCTGATGATTATGAATGATGGTGTATTCACTCAGATGATTATGAATGTTCAATTTGAATCATGAGAAAAAAAATCATTAGAATTAGTTTAAATTGAAGCCATTTTACAAACAAATTTGTTTTCCAACTTTTTAAAAATGACAGATTTCCTTTGCAACTAATCTACTCATATGTGCTTTCTATTTTCTTTATTTTTCATTTTGCCAGGCTAAGCCACAGCAGCGCTTGGCCGGGTAAAGCTAGTTTTAAATAAAAATCACTAATTTATTAGTTCCTCATTATGCTTGCATTTATTGTTGATACCACTTGAGTAAAGTTATAATTTTTGTTTCAGATTATTCCATAAATGGATTACTGTACCTGGAGATCGTCCACCTAATGGAAGTCTCGTATCTTTAATCACTAAGGATAATGAATCCAAATATGTTGTAGAATAGATTTTAATCAAAGAGAAAAATATCAACACAACAAAATTATTCATAAAAAAATGTATTAATTTACAAATATCTAATGTGATATGATGTTATTTACAATAAATTATATACATTATATACAAGACAATATCATATTGAATATTAAGATGTTTTTGTTATTTTGAAGCTTTTTATATTTTATTTGTATAAATAAATTTATTATTCTGATTGAGTGGTGTTCTCCTTCCTTACATTAAAAAATAACGAGTGACCTATTTGTCAAGCATAGGCATTCCAATTACTGCCATCTTCGGGTAATAAGCCATTGGTGACTAAGAGAATTATATCCACGATCCACCAAATTCCGACACCGCCTAGAGTTAGGAGTTTACCGACGGCTGTTCCGGTTTGGCCCAAGCAAAACCTGTCCATCCCAAGAAAGCCAAGCAATATGGAGTACATTAATGTTGTAACGAAGTAGTAACCACCATATCTAAAAAGTAAAATTCAACCATTAATTCATTAGTATTTATGAATAAATATAATTTAATAATTTTAAGTAATAATATAATCTTACTTGATACAGGGAAAACCATCTCGATAAAAGGTTCTTGCACCAAAGCACTCAATATGAGGCAACACAACACATTGCACTTTAGCTCTTTCAACATCTTCATAACGATAATTACCAAACTGAAAAAAAAAAAATATTTACATGAAATTTAACTGATAAAAAAATAAATAAAATGGGATCATGATTAATCCCTTACTTTCACACATCCATAACCTGCTTCTTCTTTAGCAGTTTTGTTTCCTTTATGATCGACAGGAGAATCACAGTCTAAGAAATCAATAGGCCTGAAATCAATAAAATTAAGTAAGATCCATTTATGCTTATTCATGGCTTAAATAAATGGAAAATTAATTTTATTTTTGATACTAAAGTTATTGGTGCTTATAATGTAAACACATGATAAAAATTTGAAAATCATCAAATAGAAATGAAAAGATATTCCACCATAATAAAATCAGTAATTTTTTATCAGTTTCTAAGTTTATTTGTTTTGTTTACAAGGAGTGTAAATATGAAATAAGAATTTGTCTATAAATGTCTTAAATTGTTAATATAGTTACATTTAAACAGCATTATTGACACCATTTTGTTTCGTAGGTAAATAGCAAAGATTTCCAACTCAACAATAAAAGCTTCATATAATGGAATTGTTTTGATTATGTTGAATACGTTATTTGCCTACAAACTTCCAATACGGGGACATAATTAGTTTTTTGTTACCATTTTAAGAGAATTGCTGCAGGATCATATTGAAAGCTTGTCGAAGCTTATAGTAACAGGAAATATTAAGAATAAAATATTTTTTAACATTCAAGAAGCCTTGTACCACAATGGGTAAACGTAAGAGCCAACTCCAAGCAATGGAGATGCGTTATCTCCGTAGGGTCGAAGGTAAAACAAAGAGAGACCGAGTGAGGAATATCACTATCCTAATCAACCTGGGTCTAAAAGAGTTAAGAGAAAAAATAGAACAGCACCTGAGAGAGAGGAATAAGGGAAGCCTTTCACTGAAGAGGTATAGATTGGACAAGAAGAAAACAATTGGCACAAGATAGAGTCCTAAGGATCAAGCCTTACTTAGCCGTAGACTAGGATGGATTAAATAGTAGCATTTTTGTGCAATAAACGTGTATATTCTATTAAAAAAATTCTGTTTTAATATACACACCTTTGTATTTTGTTTATAAACACTTTAAATACGCTCTAGCATTTAATCACAATGCGCACCGTCTTGGAGATGGACTGATGAAAAAATATACATCAGTCTTTCTTAAAAAGAGATAACGTCAAGGTAAGCTTCCCTTCAATTATTGGTGAAACCCGAAGAAGGGACCTTCAGTTCTCCAACACAAGAAACATCAAGGCCTCCCGGAATTCTAAAGGTTCAAATAAGCCAGCAGTAACAGACATGTTCAATACATTTGAAAAAAATATTGCTATTGCTATTTATTTTTTTATGAAACTACCTGACATTCTTCCTATAATATCAAAACCACCCATTCAGCAATTGTACTTAGGAATCAAGAAAAGATGAGTAATAACCAGTTAGTTTTTTTCTAAAAAATATATATGTTTGCAGCTTGTGTTAGTTCATGTGTTGTATAAAACAAACGTAACAAGGGTGTTATTGTTCATTTGATATATGAAGGTTATGTTACCCCATCCCCATAAGTGCTCCTTTCACTATAATTCATTCTTTCAAGGGTCGTAAAGGACATTTTTTAGTCCTATTATAATTAAAAGTAACTGTTGTCGTTAATTTAATAATTTTATACTTAAACCTAATCTGTTTTCTGTGAGCTAACATTTTTAAAGAATGATTCCCATACAGACTATAACAATTGTCAACCGGAAATGATACAAATTCATAAATATTAAATTCTTTAAAGGCAATTGAAATAATTAAGTGAGTTTACAGGAAGGGACGAGAGGAAAAAATTAAAGCTTGCACATCTAGTCGCACTTTAGTCAGATCAGGTCAATGTTTCCTAATTAGGAACACAACTGGAAAATGCCTCACGAACTTATACTTTATTTACACCTATTGATATATATAAAAAAAAAATTTTTTTTGAACATTTTTCAACAAGATAAAACAAAAATGATCAGTTTTTGATTCTAAAATAAGTTCTGAATTTTTTTAAGCCTATACAAATATTAAATAAGTGTTTAATATAAATTAATAATCAGGACAGTCAGTTTGTAAGATTTTTATTGCCAACGTTTCAACTCAAGTTTGTGGGTCATCATCAGGGTTGAAAAATTTATGACATTAGAATAATAATTATGATAAAACAGATAGTAGTTAATAATGGTAAATAGTGATGTATGAGTAATAATAACTAATGTATTATCATTACTCATACATTACTATCTAACATTATTAACTATTATCAGTTGTATCATAACAATGATTTCATAAATTTTTCAGCCCTGATGATCTACCAGCTTGGGTTGAAATGTTGGAAATCAAAATCTTAATAACTAACTGTGTCCTGCCTATTTATCACCCATGATATGCAGAACAGCAGCCAAACATCCTTCAATCTAAATTAATATTTTTAAAAATTTACAAAATCTTTGTTTCCATTTGGGTAAACTGGTAATACATTGCAATGGAGATCCAATATAATATCTTTAATCTAATCTAATAGCAGTTTACAACGAACATATAATTCCTTTGTACATTATCTAGAGCATTTGGAGCAGTAAGAATTCTTTATTTTACTTTAAGCTTTAATAAAAAAGAGAAGTTGTAAAAACACCAGTTAGACTTTTAAAAAAATAATGTAACAGGTACAAAACAGAAAGAGAAAAGAGTGACTCTATTCAAGCAATCTCTTCGATCAGCCCTGAACTTCAGGTCGAAACGTCGGCAAATGTTAAAATAAATATTATTATTTATTTTTGCCATTTTTATTTCTGACTGATCACTCCAACCATCCTTCCCTTCATTATTCACGACAGTCAATCATCAACCCACAATTATGAAAGAGAAAATATTGGAAAATAATGTTGTCTCTTTGTTAACACTTCAATAATCTCCAATGTCATTATAGGAATTAGTATTTTTCACAATTACGTTAGGATGTTTTCCTGTTTCATATAGGAAAATAATTTATTTTTAGATAGAGGCACTGAGAAAGAAAACTTTGAAATTTAAATAAACAATACTATATAGCTTATTGCAACATACAAATTAATAATGCAAAAACCAATAAGTATTCGACATGTCTCTCTGATTATAGTAGTGATAATGATTTTTAATTATTAACTAACTTACGGATATTTGTTTTGAAACTAAATAACTCAATTATTTATTTCTAAGAATACCGCAAAATAATAAAAATAAAATTATGACTCATTGTCATTAGTTAATAAATAATTTAGTATACACAAAATCAATTAATTGTAGTTAATTAAGAAGTGCTTAGCCTTAATAAATTGTTTTACACACAAGAAAAATGTAATTGAACAAGTATAACCATATTAGATTTGAATGGAGTTCATTGTAAACTTTATATTACATTGATTATATATTTGGGCAATTATCAAAAATATGATAAGAAATAAAAAAACAAGAATATACACATCAATTATAATCAATATATATATAAATGAGAATTTTATTATAAATAGTATTCAAATGTCTTAACATTAAGGTAAACAAATAATTTAACAAAAGGGTTATATTATATTATTATGTACTGAGATCAATTTTCATTATTATTTCATGATAGTCCTTAATTGCCTAAATGTGTAAAAAGGTTTATTACAAGCACAAAAATAAATATGATTGGTAAAGCAAAAGTAGAAGAAAAAAAGTGAAACTTACAGAAAAGAACACATAACTCTGGGGCCATAAGGTAAATACACTTCTTCTTTGTCTCTGGATGATATACTTTTATTTAGATCCGCTTGGGCACATTTAACGTTTTGATTAAAGAAAGTAAAGAATACAATAATATAAATAAACTTAAGTATCATTTATATGAATTTAAATGTGACATTACGATTATAGCCTTAAGTAACCTCCGTTTTGGAAAGTATATCAGTAACAAGAGATAAGAACATAAACAAGATTATCTACAATAACAGGGAAAGAACTACGTCATGAGACTTCTTTCATAAGTTTGTTTTACTGTGTGTTTTATATTTCAACTAATAAATAACCAAAATATAGAAACGTGAAAATTTATAGCCATTCAAAGAAATTTATTGTTGTTTTGACTCTGATTCTTTGAAAAGTTCAGAGAAATATAATTATTAATTGACCCTTGCAATCCTATTCAAGTCATCGTATTTTCTTTTAAGATTGGTGGAAACAAGTAGAATTATATTTTTTTGTCATGATCCAGCTGTTCTGTTTTTATGGTTTTCAGGAAAGTGCCTGATTTAATTATTGTACTCGTACTTTGGCCGTAAATTAAAGGCCTTCCTAACTCCACTCTATTTCTGTTCGCCAATTCTTCCTCCACTGGATCATTAATACATTGTAGTACTATAGCTTCCAACAGAGGTGCACATCCCCCCTAAAACCTCCCTCCCTTCCAAGATATTTTATTGCTCTCTTCTTCTTAATAACAGTGCAAGCTAAAGTGGGATTTAAAAAATCATAGCCCATATATGATTACACTTTTAGTGTTTTGTTCTCTTCTCTCCTTTCGTCTCCTGGTTTGAAACTTTTCATTCTGAAAATTCATAACCATATGAAAATGTGCTCCCTAAAAAATTTAAAATTCCATCAAAATGTTGTGCCTCCCTCAAAAATGTTGATTGCGCAACTTGCGTCATGAAACCCCCTTCTGGGTACCGCTGGCTTCCGATAACAGAGTGTAGTTACGTTCACGTGTAATGAATTATATGGACTACAGAGTTGTCCATCTTATACACCCTAAGGGAATGTATTTCCAAATCTTCTTAAACGTCTTGGTAGATTGATAGTGAAATTGAAATCTATGGATATTTAAACTTGGTGTGATAGTCGAGTGCCTACCTGGTACCCCTCGTAATCCTGATAACCATCGTGTCGCTTCGCTTAGTCGAGTAAAAAGTCGAAACTAAAAAAATCGTAATAGGTGTTAAGTCAAATGAATTTGACTAAAGACAGACACGGAACCAATTTTGTTCCTTGTGTCGTTAAACGCAAAACAAGAGTGAAAATGTTCTATTTAGAGACCAATTTTGACTATTCCTGCAGGATAGCAAAGCTTCTTTTGCAGTGAGGAAGAAAAAAAGCTTAACTACACTGTTGATAAATAGTTTCGTATGTTAATAACCTTCTTTTAGTAAGCGACAGTATATTATATAGTTATGTTATTTTTTCTACACTTCACTCTTTATAAAGTTTATTTGTAATAAATAGGTTCTTTTCCTTAAAATGGGCGCGTTCCTAAGCTCAGCTCTGATATCATCAATGGCATCGTTTAACCCAGGAGTCTCCATAGTTTTTGAACCTTGGATTGTGATGAATAAAAAAAATTTTTTTTTATTCAATGACATTTCGGTTGTGATATTTGCTTTCTAAGAGAAACAACTGGTGCAATATATTTGTAGTAATCTCTTGTTTGGATTATTTACTACATTTTATATATTTATTATACGTATTTAATATTTTTTTTAAGTTTACCAAGTATTCAAAGAAGCTATTAAGGGCCATAGTTGGGAGATCCCTGGCTCAATCCTGTAAAAAGGTTCTGATGAGGTTATCGTTGAGCTCAGCGATGAGTTTAGGAACTAGCCTTGACTTGCCTCCTCATTTCTGTATAATATAAATAGTTGCATGGTCCCATAATTAAAATTATAAGAAGCATTTTATTTCCAAAAACTTTTCTAGTAAATATATTTTTTTAATCATTACAAATTGTTAAGAAATCAATTTCCTGCAGGTTCATTTTTCTTTTTTAAAAAACAATATAACATAATTTGATAATAAGGCTAATAATTTTGAGAAATGTCGTAGTTGCACTTAAATATCAATCATTAATAAATATTTTTTAGTTTAATTAGCGTATAGAGAAATGTGTTCTCTGTTCATAATTCAGTTGTGTAAGGTTGGTACTTAATAATTATAATTATTAAAAATTTCAAAAGTAGTATATATCCACGTTTTGAAAATAATTTAAATGTATTAATAAATTGTTCTCAATAAGTGATATTTTTTAAACTCTTATAATGGGATAATCAATTAAATTTGAGATAATTAAATTGTGATAGCATTTTGTTTTTTGGAGCCAATTCTAGTATGCAGCCACCATTTTTTTTTAAAGCATCTGCATTAGTTCATTGCACTGCTCCTAATTACAGTTTTAGATTAAATATTAATGATGGTTGATTCTATTAATATAGTTCAGATTAACATTTTAATGGTAAGAATATTTTTTTCTATGGGGCTATTTGACAAATTGCTAATTTAATTGTATGCTGATGTAATAACTGATTTTTTCTTTTCTGAAAGGCAGTCCAGAATTGTAGTTTCAAAATGTACATGATTATTTTATATACATATTTATTTAGATTGGAGTAAATAAGAAACTTTAAATTCTAATTCAGGCTAAAAATTTTAAATACTAACAATTCTAATCCTTTCTCACTACAGAAATTAACAGTAACAAAATCATTGGAGCCAGTGACTTATTTCTTATTGTTTAAAAAATATTTCATTTTTCTTGACTAATCATTGCTTATGTTGTATATATGTCCTTTATTTGTTATTATTGAAATATCATAAAATTTCCCAAAGATATTTTTATCTTTAAAAATAAAATTAACATCTGATAAAACATAAATGGGCAAATAATGGAAAAAGAAAGATACCGATTTTCGTTAAATTGCTAGCCTACAATATAATATGTGTAAAATTCCATGATTTAATTTATCATAAATTACCTAATATTATTTCCAAAGGGTCATATCAATATTAAATATTTATTTTATTTAAGAAAAACAATTTATAACACTAACAAAAAATATTTAAATTTTCATTAAAAAATCATGATGCAACTAGTTTCGAACTTTTTCGCCCATTTTGAAGTCAATGGCATATGTCTTATTTTTGTTAATTATAATTAAAATCTAATAAATGAAACTTCATTTTCATCATGTAGTATGGTTTTGAATCTTTGAACAAAAATACCATTTGTCATAATTTCTTTTCTTAAATAAATAGTTTTCTGACATATATTGCCATCATACCAATATGTCTACAAAATATGATTTAACATTTCTTGTTTACTGTTAATTTACAATGAAGATGCGTTATTCGGCAAATTATCAGGTTTTTTTTCCCTTTTTAATTAAATTTTATATAGCTATGCTCCATTGTTGAAATTTTGGTCTGTAAGCCAAATATTTTATATTTTTCTTAAATAATAAATTTGTAACATTTCACTCTTTATCAACTATTATCCGTAACATATTCAGTTATTTATTATTATTATTATTATTAGTTCCTAAAATCCCTTAGGTCGGACATAGGGCCGCTACGAAGTTCTGCCAGTTGTCTTGATATTTAGCGCATCTCCACTAGAGTCCTCCTCCATGTTTCTTTAGGCCGCATTTATTTTTTAATTTTCTTAAAACTTACTAAAAATTTATTTTTATGGAGTGCATTTGTCAATACTGTTGCAATAGTCTCATTGCATTTCCCCAGACAAATAGCCATTTATTTATTTTGAGTCATGGATCTAATTTGTCCAGAGGGGAAAAAAAAAATGGCCTTTTCTTAAATTTAAAAATTTTCTTAAATTTGACCTATTGGCAAGGTTTGAAGAAGAAATAAAAATGTATTTTTAGTCAGTTTTAAGTGATGAAGAAATAAATGAATATTTTTTGGATATTATTTAACAAAGAGTGGAATGTTTTAAATTTATCAAATCTGTCTGTAAAAGAAAAAGTATCCATGAAGATGGGCTAAGGGTCAAAATGTCAATGATGGAGCATAAATAAAAATGTATTTAAAAATGGAAGAGGTTACGCTGCAAAAAAAAAAAAAAAAATTATCTGGTTTGGATAATATTGTTCCTGTTATTTTAAATGTTCCGTGATAACTAACTATTTATTTAAAAAAATTCCTCTCGTATCCAATCCCTTCAATCCAAAATCCTTAATGCTCCCTACTTTGTCACAAATAAAATCATCCATAATGACCTTAATGTACCATATGTTTCCGATTTAGCTCAATCCAGATACCTGTCCTTTCATAATAAACTTCTGAACCATCCGAACCCTCTCGTTTCCAACCTTGCTTCCTCTTCTATTCCTGATAACCCTCCGAGGCGTCTAAAAAGAAGATGGCCTCGGGACCTTCTAATATAGGAATATAATTGGAGTGCTACCAATGGGTAGTTTCTCCTCATGTTGTACATGTCATATTACTTGTTCATATTTACTAGATGTATTTATTATTAATTACAGTTGTAAATTTCGTTAATTAAAAAAAAAAAAAAATTAATTAAAATATTGTTATATACTCAGCATGAAATTAGCTTTATTCAGTCATGGTTCATAATTTGGAATTAAGAAATATATCAAATCAAGAAATAATAGAGAGATATAGCTGGTATAGCTTGGTTTGGTTTCTATCGGCATGTAAGAATAAGTCCTGTCTATCAAAATATATAAAGTTGTGTGATCTTAATTAAATTTTTTTTAGGCAGAAAGAGAATTGCTCATTATTGATACCGGAGGAAAAGAAATCGATATTTTTAAATCAGGCGATACATAAAGTTCTTGTTATTTTAATCATAGTTTTAAATTTTATTTTGCAATTCTCTTCAAGGCTACCTTCTTTTTTTTTTTTTTATTTAAGTGATTAGTGCCTTTCTTTAACAACAACCATGAAACATAAATTGCTCTATTTATTTTCGATATAGTTTCGAATATGATTACAGGATTTAATTTCTAAGTAAGAACATAACACTTTTTTCCCTTCTGTCATTCTTTTGTTTGAACATGATGATTGATTTAACAATAGCGAAGTTAAGAGA